CATCCACAGCCTGGGAGGAAGAGTGGGGGCAAAGGCGGCAGCAGAAAGATGCAGGGTGCCCCAGAACTCCTAGATGAGAGCGCCTGACACTCGGGCAGATGGAAAAGGGATGTTACAGCCATGCCTGGATGGAAGACAGTAGGTTGTCAGGACAAGCGGAGCCAGTGGTCCAGGGAGAGAACTGCATGACAAAGTTTGGGGTCCCAGATGAGCTCTGCACAGAGTGCAGGGCCACCACAGCCACCCAGGGTGTTGGGCAATGAGGAAGGAGACCTGGGACCACCGGAAGCCCCCCAGGGCACCACGGACGGGTTGCGGCTTAAACAAGAGATGGCTCCACTGTGCTTTTCACCTGGGGTTGAGGACAGATGTGCATGTGGTGTGACACCGAATCGATGCTGTGTGCAACAGCAGCTGGAGGAGGAGAGAGAGGAGGGGTCCAAGCTGTTGGAGGGGCCTAGGCTGACAGCACAGGCCCCAGGCCATGAGGCCTGAGCTCAGCTAGTAGCAACAGGGACAGAAAGAGGAGCATTTACTGTGATCAGACACTTGGGAAACAGGGACACAGCAGGCAGGGCGGCGGTCAGGAGCCGAGTCAGGTGGCTGCCCTGGGTGGGCTGAGCCCCCAGATGAGAAGACGAGGACAAGAAACAGTTTTGAAGGTGAAGCTGCCTTTCTCTGAGACATCTCAGGTCCCAGGGGCAGCAGGAAACACAGTGAGGATTTTCCTTCACACCTGCAAAAAAGCAGATAAGACTGTTGCTCAGCACTGGGCCAGCAGTCCCAGGGTGGCTTGGAAGGGAGCCAGCCTGGGCTTTCAGTCCAGAGATGGGGAACGCTGCCCAGAAGCCGCCCCTCTCCCTGGTTCCCTGGCCCCTGGGGTCCGATGCGAGGACACTGGGTCATGGTCACTTTGACTCTCGCCGAGTCTCATGGACTGGACGCCTATGGCAAGGGCTGAAAAGGATACAGTCTGGCCTCCACGATGAAGCTGAACAGTCCTACTCCCCATGGGTTCCCCGGGCCCACAGCTCCATCCCTGTCGGCCCCTCCCCACCTCAGGTGGCTCCACCTTGGCCCCAGCCCCATCCCAGCCCCGCCTTGCCACACCCCAGGCCCCTTCCAGTCCCAGCCCCCTGCCCCACCTCCTTCTTTAGAAGCTTCTCCTCACCCAGGTCTTTCCCACACTTTAGCCCCAGACTCCTAGCCCTGCTCCTCGAGCCTCCTCCCTCACTTCCGGGTCCTGCTCCCGATCGTGCTCCAGGCCGCCTTTCTCGAGGCTCCTCCTGGCCTGACCTTCTAGGCGCCTCAGAGCGTGACGGATCTTAGTTTGTCTCCTAGCTGACAGGGCCGGGAAGGAATGCGCCTTTGTTCATACGTGCTACGTGCGTGTCAATGTAACTGTGTGCCTGCATACCTGTGTGCCCACGTGAGTAAGGGAAGCCATATGCACCGGAAATGACCAGTGTCAGTGTTTGTGGGCTGAGGTCAGCCAGTGCTTTCAGAGGTCTCGGTCCCAGTGGTGGACCATGGTCTTGACTGGTAGCCACCGCCCAGTCATCCCAAAGCACCTGTAACTCACACTGCTTGCAGAAAGGTGGGAGGGCACCTCGTGCGTCATGGGCACCTCCAGGAGGGGGTTTCCAAGAGTGCCTGCCAGGGAGCCAAGCCAGAGGTTCTGGCCCCCTCCACGGCCACAGTCCCAGCCCGCTTTCCTTCCACGTGTGCATCTCGGCAATGCCCTGGGACATACATGGGAAGATGCCAGCAGACCTGTCCTCCAGCCTCCTACCATGCCCCTGGACTATGACCTCACACTAGCCCCACCTGCCCCTGTGAGTCACCCCCACCCAAGCCTGACCCTGACAAGTAGGGCTCAGTTGCTTGTCAACGGTTCCCCTCCAGGTGGGGACCAACCATGAGTCCATGGAGGGCGGCACACTGACTGTGGGGCCCCCAGATCCTTCCAGAGTGGCAGAGTGAGGGGAGGAGTCATTTGCTCTTGTTCTTTGGGGAGGGTCTCCTGGGCTATAAATCACCATCACTCCTGGGGGATGGTTTCTGTGCTGTGGGCTGAGGCATCGTGGGGTCCCTGTCCCAGCCGTGTGAGGACAGGCCAGCTGTTGTGATGAGCAGAACCCACCCTGAGGGAACCTGCAGGTATGTTTCTCATCGGTTGGGCCCTCCTGGGACCCCATGGTCTGAGGCCTTTGCCAAGGAGAAGACGGTGGTGGCTTGTTGTCCAAGATTGCTGTATGGTCACTGGTGACATTCTCCCTATTCCTCTGGTCCTCATGAAGGTGAAGACGCCCAGTCAAGCAGGCAGAAGAGTGTTTTCTCCTCTGGCCACCAAGCAGGCACCCTCTGCTTTGACTGATAGGAGTGCTTGCAGCCACTTCTTGCTCTGGGATTCCACCCACACAGGTGAGATTCTGAGGCACCCAGGAGGAAGGGGTTGAGTTGGCTGAGACACTGAATGATGGAAAATGGGCAAGCCTGGGATCCAGTCACATACCTCAGTAGAAGACACAGTGATGGCCAAGCCCCAGGGGCCAACCAGGTCCCTTGTAACCAAGCCAGACCCAGTGAAGAGTGTGACCCTTTGTCACCCAGCAGGCAGGCAAAGATTCAACCGAATGATGATGCTCGGGGCCAGCCAGGGTGTGAGGACATGGCACCCTTGCCTGTGGTTGGTGGAGTGGAAACACGACACACTTTGTGGAAGGCTATTATCTGGCGTGAGTCAGCAACTCGGGTGTGTGTGGTGTGCCCCGGGCCTCTTCCTGCATGGCTCTTCAGTGAGTGTGTGGTCACATTTAGTGGCTGTATTGGCAGAATGAGTTTTCCGTTCTCTTCCATCAGAAGGGAAGCATCAGTAACTTGTGGCAGTCCCGGAGTCTGGGTGAGGACCCTGAGGGAGGATTGTGGGGATGCTGGACCCCACTATTGAGTGGGCTCTGGGAGCACTTGGGCTAAATGAATACACACCATATTTCCTGACATCTCGGTATCAGTGAGACTGGGGATCTGGTATGGGGGAGCAGCCTCAGGTGGGCAGAGGGAAGAATTCCAGCACCAGCAGGTTGTCAAAGTTGAGGATCTTGAGGGAGGACTGAAAGGACGATGGAACCCAATCAGAGGAGACCTCAGAGAAGCCTTTTGCTGCTGTCAGTCCTTGGTGGCCCTGGGGTAGGATGAACCCAACATGTGTGGTCTCACTTCCCTATATCTGGGTCTTAGTCTAGGGTCCTGAAACAGGGGGCAGGCTTCCTGACATCCAGGTCTCAGACTGGGAATTTTGCATGGGGTGGGGACTCAGGTGGGCTGATTCCCAGGTCCTGTGGTGTGTCAAGTTGAGGACCCTGAGGGAGGACTAGGGTACCGTAGACCGCAATCAGAGGAGGCCTCAGAGTAGCCCATCTCTGTTATCAGTCCAGGGCGACCATGGGGTAGAATGAGCAAAACAGGCATAGTCTGACTTCCTGACACCTGGGTCTTGGAGAGACTGGGGCCCTGGTAGAAGGGGCGGGGCTTCAGCTCGGGAGAGGCAAGAATCCCAGGTCCTGACTGGAGGCAAGTTGAGGTGCCTGAAGGAAGACTGAGGGGTCCCTGCGGGAGGACCGACAGAACCCCACAGATCCCCGCCCCTGTAGTTGGCCCTGGAAGCCCTTGGGGTGAGAAGAGCACTCTAGGCCTGTCTGCCTTCCTGACATGTGGGTCTCAGAGAGACTGGGGACCTGGTGTGAGGAGCCAGGCCTCAGGTAGGGAGAGGACAGAGCCCAGGTCCGACCAGGAGTCAAGGTGAGGACACTGAGAGAGGAGGGGAGCCTGACCCAAGAATAGAGGGGACTCTGGTAATCCCCGGGAAGGACAACCATGAGCAAGATTTCCTGACATCCGGATCTCAGAGAGCCTGGGGACCTGGTGAAAGTGGCGGGGTTTCAACATGGCAGATGGGACAATCTCAGGTCCTGCCTGGAATCTAGGCTCCATGCGAGGAAGGACTGAGGGTGTTAGACTCCAAGGCAGGGAGGGATCCTTGCTCTTGTGGGGGGTCATGGAGGCCCCAGAGCAGGGTGAGCAGTTTATTCACCTCTGTCTTAGGGACCTTGAGATGAGTTGTTTGAGTGGAGGGTGGAGGCTTCAGTTCTGCAGAGGGTGGACACCCTGGACCCCGAAGAAGGACTGAGCAGATGCCCGCCCCTGTGTTCAGTGCTTGGAGGCCAAGTAGGACGTGAGGAGAGGTAAGGACCAAGCATCTCCCCAGCCTAGGATCTGCGGGATGCCCTAGGCAGGTGCAGCCACATGTGGGGCCCCTCAGCTCTTTCTGTCCAGATTTGGGTCTTGTTCCGAGTTTCCCTGCAGGTCCCCAAAGGGGAAGGTCCAGGTCGTGCTGGTGGAAAAGTGAGCACTACACGTGAGCCCCAATGGGACTACCCATCACAGATCTGTGGGGACCTCACAGAGTCAACCCCTCCTACCAGCACAGAAGGCCTAGGTCTGTGCCACAGTCTCCCCCCGAGGTGCCCCCTCCATTTGTCTCACGGGGGCTCCAGGAAACAGGAGGCAAATATGGAGGTCTGAGGCCCATGTCCTGAGGTCAGGGAGCAGAGGACGTCCAGGCAGTGCTGGGAGACAAGGTGAGGTGGGTGCCCTGAGTGTGCACAGGGGCTCCCCATCCCAGAACAGAGGGGATCTCAAAATGCCTTAATCCCCCCACCTTGTCAGCCCCAGAACCTTGGGCTGTACTGGCTGCACCCTGGGCCAAAATTTCTCTTCCTCAGTTGACAGGGGACTGACTACCAAGGGGGAGCACCCCTGTAATGCCCAAGAGCAGCCCTCAAGGAAGACCAGTAAAGTGGCCTCAGTCAGAGCCACCCATGGTGTGTTTCACAGCTAGGACCATTTACACTCTCTCTTCCCCAGGTCAGTGGTCTCCATTTCCCCCATGCCACACTCCCACTGGGCACAAGACCCCATCCGCCATGCCTGTGGTCCCGATGAATGAGCTCTGCACTCCTGAGGAACACCTTCAGGGCCAAATCCAGGCCCAGGGCCCAGTGGAGGCGCAGCTCCTGGGGGTGGAGGCGGAGGATGCCTCAACCCCTCTGGCCACCTCCCCTCCAATCTCATCTTCCTCTGCCACCGTGGATGCAGAGATCTCTCTCAAGCAGACTCTGAATGTGATGGTGGCTGATCTAGTCGAGATCGTGTTCCTCAAGTATGGCACCAAGGAGCCGATTTTCCAGGCTGAAATGCTGAATACAGTCCTCAGGGATAACCAGGCCCACTTCCCTGTGGTCTTTCATAAAGCCACACAGTGCCTGCAGTTTGTCTTTGGCCTGGATATGAAAGAGGTGGACCATAGAGAGCACATCTATGTCATGATCACGACCCTGGGCCGCCTCACCCTCAATGACATGCAGAGGGATGGGCAGAGTATGCCAAAGGCTGGCCTAGTGGTTTCCGCCCTGACCCTGATTCTCCTAGCAGGGGACCAGGTCTGTGAGGAGAAAGTCTGGTGAGAACTCAGCAGAATGGGGGCATTTGCTGGGATGCAGCACTACGTCTATGGGGAGCCCAAGGAGCTGCTGACCCAAATATGGGTGCAGGCGGGGTACCTGCAGTACTGTCAGGTGCCTTACAGCTACCCTGCTCACTATGAATTCCTGTGGGGTACCAGGGCCTATGCAGAGACCAGCAAGCAGCAAATCAAGGACTATTTGCACAGGGTCAATGGGTCCCGGGTTCTTCCCATCCCGGTGTGCAGAGGTGTGAGGGAGGAGGAAGAGGGATCCTGAGCCAGAGCAGCAGCCAGACCCACATCCAGCAGCTTGTCCTGGAGGAAGGAAGGGAGGCTGATCCTTCCTTCTGCCTTCTCTGTCGTGAGGGCCTGGGCCAGTTGGGGGAAATGCTGTGCTGCATCTTTGGGATCATGTTCTTTACAACGACATGGAGATTCACTTCTGTTTCCTTTAGGAGTTTTTCAAATGTTATTTGTTTTAATAGAAGGCTTAATAAGCTTCAGTGTCTAACTATGTCAATAACGTTGATCACAGTGTGTTTGTGCTCACCCAGTTCAAGAAAAAAAGTTTGCTGTTTTGTAAAAGTGATTGTGAACTCTTTGATTTTATTTTGTAACCCTGGTCAAGATTTCATGGAATGAGAAGATAACTATTTTGGAAATATGATATTACTTAGTAAGAATTGAGAAATTAAATATATTTGAGGTAAGTTCCTCTATGTTCCTTGTATGTCATTTTATACAGCTAAACTATCTCTGTTCAATTGGATTTTTTCAAGTTATTATTTAAGAAAGTACAAAACACCTGATCTGACTTAATAAGTGCCTTGCTCTGGCTCATTTATTCCACAGACCTTCATGGAGCCTGTGCCCTGTGGAAGGCCCTGTGTTAGCAGTGGGGACACTAGGAAAAGCAGGACTCCCCAACACCTAGAGCAATGATTTAAGAGCTGCAGTCACATGAAGAAGGTAGAGAGACGTCCCCTAGTTTCACAGAACAAGGCAACCCGGGGCAGGGCGGTGAGGGTCCAGGAGGAGCACTCGAGTGTTGGTGCCTGAGCCAGGGCGTTTTGGGACTTTGGGAAGCTGGGCTCATTCTGTGAGAGGTGATGGTAACGAACCTGGGCAGTGGCAGCAGCCAGAGCTCTACACAGTGTCTTATGGGTGAGAAGAAAATCTGAAATGGGACATACACATTAGAAGATCCTCTTCTGTCCTAGATAAACTTCTTGGGGCAGGAAGGGAAGTTACACTATGGTCAGGAACAGTTAGACACTTGTTTATGCAGCTTGATCAAAGTACACCAAAAGTTTTCAAAATGGGGAGGGGTGAGTGGACTTTGGTTTGCTGCACAATCTACTCAAGTCTTAGAGAATACAGTTGAAGAAATCTTGGTAAGCACCCCCAAACTCTTGGTAGAGTTGGTAGGATTTTAATGGACTGTCTTTTTTGAAACTGGTGGCTGTGTACTTAAACTAATGGATTAGCTTTTCTAGGTGGGCAGACCCTAAAGCCATAGATGAGGAGGGGTTATGGAAACCACAGTGGCAAAATCTGTACTGAATTTGAATTCACACACCTCAGAATCCTTGGAGGTGAAGGGTGGTGCATTGTGCATATCCTAGCTGGATTTTATCAAGAAAAGTCCCACTGTCCTTGTCCCCTCACTGTCGCTTGTCTGATGCCTGCCCCTCATGAAGGTCATGGCTGTCGGGGAGCCTACAGGCACCTGTACAGATGCTCAGGCAAGTTCCATTGTGTGGAGGCAGCCGGGACTCCCAGGGGGAGACTGTGTAATGGCATCAGGAAGAAGGGGCACATCTTCATCCCACTGAGACTGTGGGGTGCTGGCATCATTGCAGAGGGATGGGCAGAAAGAACACTGGAGGGAGTCAGGGGACCCATCCCTGACATTCACAAGAGCCTTGGAAACTAAATCATATCTTGCATTTGAAAGTGCCAATACAGAGTAGTGACTAGAAACAGCTGGAGATTCAGTGCTCATCTGGCTTTCTCAGAAACTCCTCAACACACGAAGGGAATTGTCTTCATCATAAGCTATTCCTACCGGCTGCTGTCTGTTGAGCACCGAGTACGTTTCAGGACAGGGGAGAGACTCCAGGTCCTTGTTCACATCGCTTCTCCTTCTGCTTCCTGGAAGTTGCCTGCAGGGAACATGGGATCCTAGGTAAACCTACAACAGTTTGGGAATAAATTACATGATCAATGCACCAATTTAAATAGAAAGACAGAAAAAAAAATGTTTCCTATAAATAACAGTAGCACATTGTTTGGGAAAAAAATCATTCCATTTGTCCTGATATCTGGGGTGGAGTGGAAAGATATTCTGGATGCAGGTGGTGCCACATCCATGGGACTGAGCTCCCAAGAAGCAGGAAAAGCTCCTGCCTGACTGACTGATGGAAGCTCTGTCCAGGCTTGTCCATTCAGGGCCAAGGTGAGGACCTGGGCTCCTTCCAGTGGCACTGATGTCATGAGGCAGCAGTGAGCGGTTGTGTGAAGTGAGATTTTAATCCCCTGCCCAGGAATTAAACCTGGGTAGCCTGGATGAGAGCCAGGAATCCTAGCCACCATACTAGCAAGGGCTAGAGCCTGAAAGCTATTTTTTCATGGATCATTGCCTCCAGTGAAAAATTCATTTATGACAGAGACAGAAACTGTAAATGCAGGTACAATATTATTAGAGACATAGCCCAACAAGTGGGAGAGCACATAAAGAAATGGTTTGTTAGTTGAGATAGGAGCAAGGCAGAGATGCAGTCTTGGAGAGAAAGAGTGTGGATGTCACACCTGGTGAGCAGGAGCACAGTCAAGAGTCAGAAAAGACATTTATATAAGTCATTCCTTCTGGATTTTTGTCTTCCTTCAGGCCAATTATCTGGTTTCTTTTTCCACACCTGACCTACCTTGGGATGCTCCCCTGCATTCATACACACACCCCTCAGCCAAGATGGATCTCGAAGTGAAGGTTTCTGGGAAGAGCAAGACTCATTATGGTCTGGCATTATCCCTTGACTTTTAACCCACAATAAGCCTTTTTTCACATGGCACAAGTCTCCTTTGTCTCAAAAGATGGGGGAGTGGAGATCCCTTTATCCTTTACTCAAACAGAGTTTTGCCCCTCTTTGTCCTTGCCATGACTGTAACCTTTAGGTATTTATAAGAGACAAACACTGGCTATTTATGCTGTTTCTACTGTTTCATTCATGTCAGAGAGCAAATAGGAGTCTGATTGTAAGTGCCTTAACTGTAGCCAACCTACCCCTTGTCACAGGGAATACTAACATTTGTAGGTATCCAGCCTGAAGCCTACTTCTTTGTCCCCCATAAAATGCAAACAGAAAGCCAGTTGAAAATGTCTAACTTGGAGCCTATCCATCCATACTCCTCTGCCTCACTGTGTGAGGCATAAATACTTTCATCATAATAGTAGTGGTAAATGCTTACTAGTTCTGTTCCGTTTATTCACTGGGTCAAGAAGATGATCTGACTTGACAAAATAACCATCATGGCACAGAAGCCTTGAGATATGGCTTTGTGACTGAGTCCAACACAAATACTTGGGGGTCATACTCCTGGAACTTCTGACAGGGCACAGGAATCACCCCTGCCCAAGATTTCAACTTCCAAAGGCTAAGTCTCTGTGTCTACCTTGCATTTCATTCTGTTGTTCATTCTGTTCATTCATTTCTGGTGCCATTTCAGAGCACAGTGGTCATAGTAATTTTCAGGGAGCAGACGTCAAAAGGAGAGACCTTGCAGAGATCAACATAATCAAGGTGAGGGGGTCAGGCCACTGTATTCTCCCCAAATTGATCCCGTGAGTAGTCTCTCACAACATGCTGCCCGCAGGGAGGCAGTTCCCTTCAGCGGAGGGCAATTCTGGAGAAGACTTTTGCTCTCAGTCCTCATCCACCAATACCAGTGGCCCTGGGCAAATAAGTGGGCTAGTCACAAGGAGGAGATCTGGGTGGTACCACGGCATCCACTTTAATCCACCCCTCCCAGCACTGACATACACTTCCTTCATCTGGAGAGTTCACCTCATCTGAGGACAGTTCTTTGAAGATTCTGCTTGGTCTCCTCTCCTGAAGAAGCTCAGAGAGAAAGACTGAACAAATGCTGGGCCCTCACAGTTGCAGCAGCTGCTGCACCACAACTGATGGTCAGTCTCTCTTGCCCGAGATCCGTTCTAAATCCCCTGTTCTCTCAGCCAGGACCTCAGACATTTCCAGTGGCTTTCCTGGTGAGGTAATACAGACTTTGTCCCTCAGGGTTCTGAAGCTCGGCCCGATGCCCTTCTCAGACCCTTGCTCTTGGACTTGTCAATTCATCACTGAAATGGGGCAGGAACCCAAAACACATCACCTGGCTGTTAGAGATATTTCCTCGCTGTTCCCCCTGTGCCAGGGTAGCCCACACACTCCTTAGGATCAAGGTCATCTCCACCTGCCGGGATGGGGACAGTTCTCTGTGTGTGCTGGTCCCCTAGCAGGAGGAGCCCAAAGTGCCCAGGTTGGAACCATGGCTCATAGGTCAGTAGGACTGCTATCGTGTCTCCTGGGGGAAACTTCTTGCTTTGGGAACAGCCTGTCGTGTGTCACCACCGGCAAGAGGGTAACCAGTAACCACATGAGCCTGGGAATTGTGAACTCAAATGTGCTTAGTGTGTCCCAGGGCCTGGCCTTCTATCTTAACATAATGTGAAGTCAAAGGTAAATAGCTAGATGTGGCTAATGTGGATAGTCCTGCTGTGGAAGTATAGAACCTACTCTTGGGAGACTGAAAGTACAAGTTCCCTGTGGGTCAGTG